ATATATCTCTTCTTGTCCTGGCTCTCACTTCTTTAGGATATATACCTAGTAATGGGATTGGTTGGTCAAAGGGTATTTCTAATTCCAGCTTTTTAAGGAATTACCATACTGCTTTCCACAGTGGTTGTATCATTTTACAGTCCCACCAGAAGTATATGAGAGTCCCAACCTCTCCACATCCTTGCCAGCATTTATTATTTTCTGTCTTGTTGAACCTTGGCATTAGTGCTGGGGTGAGATGGTGTCTCATTGTTGTTTTGATTTACATCTCTCTGATGGCTAATGATCGTGAGCCTTTCTTCATGTATTTGCTGGCTGCCTGAATATCCTCTTTAGTTAAGTGTCTGTTCATGTCTTCTTCCCATTTTTTAATTGGATTGTTAATCTTTTTGGTGTTGAGGTGTTAGAGTTTTCTATAAATTCTAGAGATAAATCCCTTGTCAGATATGTCATTGCCGAATATTTTTTTCCCAGTCTGTAGGTTCTCTTTTGACTCTTTTGGAGAAGTCTTCGGAAGCACATAAAAATTTAATTTTTAGAAGGTTCCATTCATCTGGTTTCTCTTCTGCTGTTTGTGCATTTTGGGTTATACTTGATAGTCTATTTATGCCATATATTGTTGTTGTTGTTGTTTTGTGCCATCGAGTCAGATCCGACTCATAACGACCCCTCCTTCGGTTTCTGAGACAGTATTTATGCCATAAATTAGGGCCCCTAAATTTGCCCCATCTTTTCCTTAGGAACTTTATAGTTTTAGGTTTCACATTTAAGTCTTTGATCCATCTGGAGTTAGTTTTTGTGTATGGTATGAGGTACAGATCTTGTTTCGTTTTTCTGCAAATGGATATCCAGTTTTGCCAGCACCATTTGTTAAAGAGACTATCTCTTGCCCGTTTAATGGATTTCAGCCCTTTCGGATCTATTTCTGGGTTCAATTCTGTTCCACTGTCTATGTGTCTGTCGTTGTACCAATACCAGGCTGTTTTGACTACTGTGGCTGTACCCTATTATTATTTTTGCTGGAAGTGCATTCAGTTTGCCGCTGTTTGCCAAGTAATGGGTGGAAAGCCAGGGCAAAGGAATGATCTGTTGCCTGAGGTAGTGAATTCCTGTTCTTGAGGGTTTCAAGGCTGGCTGACCTCCTCTTGCCAGGGTTTCTGAAGAGGGGATTAGTCCATATGCCCATTAAGATTACTTTTAGCTTTAAATTTGTCTTGGAGGAAAAGAATCTTTTGACTCTTAGAGCAAAGCAAAAGGATTTATTGAAAGCACAAGAATATTCAAATGGAGAATCATCAACTCCCATATGTGGAGACCATGAATTCGAGGGATGACTGTTTCATGAGGACTTAGGAGTTAACAGTAAAGAATATTTTGATTGCCTAGCTAATGTAAGTTCTTCTGATTGGCTATTTTTGGTAAATCATTGAGGACATACCCAGGCAAGATCTTTATGTGATCACTTTTCTGCATACTAGTTAATCTACTTTCAATTCTATTCTTTCTGAGGTCAACCTCCCCCTCTTTTGTTTACCCACAAACAGTCATGGGTCACCTTCTCAGAAACAGAAGCACAGCCTATTACTAAATGGAATTTGAATCAGACTTTGTGTAAGCCATTTTAATTATGTCAAACACTCCAAATTTTGGAATGCTTTTACATATTTCTGAAGAACCTCTAATACAATGGGCTATGACAGCAGTCTATACCAAACTGCCCTAATAGAACATGCTGCCACTTGCTGGCGCCTTCTGTCTTGACTAATCACAGGGCTAATATTCCTTAGTTACATCTTAGTTAGATTTGTGTACAGGTTAACAGCTTGTTGGCAGGAAGCAGAAGTTAAGAAGAACAAGAGAGTGGGCCCTGGATCAGTCATTTTACTTTGTTTGAATGTCCTGTGATTTGGACTCCATGGAAAATTCCATAAAGACTTAGTTTTCTGATTAGCTTTGCAGAAATATTTACCTTTGGAAGCCAAGAGGGTTATGTTTAGAATTGAGAAAGGGTCAGGGTGAAATCATGTAACTAGGATGGCAAAGGATGAGACCTTTCTGTTTTCTACTCCCCACCTCCCTTCCCCAGTATTTACCTGGGCAAGATCCTACCCACCTAATAAGGCATAAATGATCAATTTGAAAGAATCTAGTTTTAGGATGAAAAGCCCTGGTGGCACAATGGTTAAACACTGGGCTTCTAACTTAAAGGTCAGTGGTTGGACTCTACCAGCTGCTCCACAGGAGAAAGATGCGGCAGTCTGCTTCTATAAAGATATCAGCCTTGGAAACTCTGTAGGCAAAATTACGCTGTCCTGTATGGTCACTATATGTCAGAATTGAATAGAAGGCAATGGGTTTTGTTTTGATTTATAGCTCTCCAATTGTTTTAGTAGCTTTTGTCAAAAATACTCCTGATTCCAGTTCTGTTCCCAGCCTCATCCTTTCTCCATACAGCTGCCAGAACTTTTTTCAAATAATATTTTATTGTATTTTAGGTGGAAGTTTACACAGCAAACTAGGTCCTCCTTTAACAATTTTTTTATACAAATTGTTCCGTGCCATTGGTTACAATTTTTATATTGTCAGCATTCTCATTATTTCCATTCTGTTTGTTCTTTTTCCATTGATCTAGCTTCCCCTCCCCGACTCTTGCCTTCTCATCTTTGCTTTTGGGTAACTGATGACTGTTTGATCTCAAGTAGAAAAGTATTTAAGGGAGCACATTACTCATGGGTGATCATGTTTATTTTATAAGCCAGTTTATTATTTGGCTGAAAAGTAGCCTGAAGAAATAGCTTCAATTCCAAGTTCAAAGGGTATCTTAGGGTGATAGTCTCAAGGGTTCCTCCAGTCTCTTTTAGGTCATTAAGTCTGGCTTTTTATAGGAATTTGAGTTTTGTTCAACTTTTTCCCTTTCTATCTTGGACCTTCTATTGTGTGCCTGGTCAGAACGGTAGGTAGTGGTAACTGGGCACTGTGTAGTTCTTCTGGTGTCAGGTTAGAAGAGGTTGTGGTTCCTGTGGGCTCTCAGTTCCTTGGAAGGAAGATTGAGCAATCTACTTCTGTAGTGACACTGCCTCGGAAACCCAAAGAGGGGTCTCTATGAGTCGGGTCCGACTCGACGGCACATAACAACAACAATGATTAGTTCCACGGACTAGTTTCCTCTTTGAGCCTTTGTTTTCCTCCATTCTCTTTTGCCCTGTTTGAATAGAGACTAATAGTTGTATCTTACATGGCCACTTGCAAGCTTTTAAGACCCCAGATGCTACTCACCAAACTAGGATGTAGAACACAATCTTTGTGAAGTATATTATGTCAATTGATGAAATTATCCCCCAAGACTATGGCCCTAAGCCTTTTGACCCAGTAAACTAATGCTGTGAGTTATTTGGATATGTCTAGGACGCTTCCATAACTGTGGCCCCTGTGGTTTGTTATATATGCAGATATATGTGCAGGACACACAAATGTGTGTATACATATGCCTACAGACACACCTGGGAGCTCTGGTGGCATAGTGCCTAAGGTATTTGACTGCTAGCCAGAAGGCTGGCAGTTCAAACCCACCAGCCACTCCTCAGAAGGAAGATTGGGCAATCTACTTCTGTAGTGATACTGCTTGGAAACCAAGGAGGTCCTGCTATGAGTCGGATCCGCCTCAATGGCAGTGAGTTTCATTTTCGGTTTTATAGATACCCCTATACACACATGTGCATTTACTCACATATGCCTTCCTACACACATATCTGCATTCATATCTACTTTTGTAAACCACACACATATTTTTTGGTTGTTGGAAAATCGTATATATCACAGCATTTACCAAAATTATCCCTTTTTCTCATATACTTCTTAGTGTCTTTATTTACCTTGGTCAGGTTGTGCTGACTTCACCCATATTTGGGATCGCCTTTCCCATTACCAAAAGTAACAATTATCTCCTATCTAGAAAGTTATTCTCCCTCTCATTCCTGGTAACCATCAAAGAACTTTGCTTTCTCTGTGTGTATCTTTTCTAGACTATTTAAAATAGTGTGACCATACAATATTTGTCTTTTTGTGAGTATTTAACTCAGTATAATGTCCTCCCAATTCATCTATGTTATGTTTGATGGACTGCTCATTATTCTTTATAGCTACACAGTAGTCCATCGCTTGTATATACCACAACTTGTTTATCACTTTCTCTGTTGATGGGCACTTAGGCTATTTCCATCTTTTTGCTATTCTGAATGATGCAGCAGTGAACTTAGGTGTGCCTATGCCTATTCATGTCACTGCTCTTAAATCTCTAGGATATATATTTAGGAGTGGGATTGCTGGATCATACCTACTTCCCTCCCTCACTTCATGTGGGTATATTCTATTGTCACCTCCCCAAAGAGATCTCCCCCACCAACGTTTAAAGTAGTCTCCCCCGGCAGTAACTTCCCCCTGCCCTTTTTCTTCACGTCACTTATATAATGCCGTATCATATAACATAGCAGTTTATTTGCTCGTCTATTTTTTTTTCCTTACACAACCCTACCATAAGTTCCAAGAGAATTTACAGCTACATCCCTAGAATAGTGCTTCGCACATAGTAGGTACTCAATAAATAATCACAAGACTGATGGAAAGAAGGAATGACTACGCATAAACTCATCTGTCAGGCGGTCCTTCAATCTTCATACAAGGTCTGAGCGCCCCCTCTTGGTGGAGTCAATTTGCTCGCGAACGAAGGAAGTGAGTCACATAATCTTAAAAAAAGAGCGAGCTGGAGAGGGAGTCTGTACCGGAAGAGCATGAAACTAGTGCCGGAAGTTAAGCAAAGGAAGGCTGCTCCCTAGAATGACATCCTACCCACAAAAGGAAGCGTAACCGAATGGTGTTCTGCAAAACAGGCTCTCCGACGTCCGGTTTGGACAGAAGCGTTCCGCTCCGTTCTGGGCGGGGAACCACGTGGGGTAGGGGTGCGTTTCCGGTACAGCGACAGGTAAGAGTGTTGATTGAAGCCCAAGCAACTGGAGGGGTGAGAAGGGTTCGGGGTCCTGAAAACAAAGGAAGAGGAGTGGGGTCGGGGTGAAGAGGGTGAATGATTTTCGCACTGAGGGGCAGGAATGGGGCCTTGGATGGGAGGAAAGGGCCATGGAGCATCCATTGACAGGTGCATATCTGTCAGCGCACGTCCCACGCCACGTGGACTTGCCTTTCTCCGTAGCTGCCTTTCTCACTCCGCATTGAGGGCAGGAGTTGTGCATTATCTCTCCTGAGTACAGTGCCTGGTACATAGTTGGTGCTTAGTAAGACCTTGTGGAATGAATGACAGGAACACGTGCCGCGCGGTGGGAGCGGAGGGACACTTCTAGGGGCTAGTTCTGGTTCTTCAGCCCATTTTCTCCTGGGGAGACCCGCGCTTCAATTGGGATTCTCCACCCAGTCCCTGGGGCTTTATTTCTTTTTCTTTCCGGGAAGGAGTTACTCTCATTTAAGACATTTTCTTTGCTTATACTGAGTTCTAGGCTCTGTGCTTAAGTACTGGGGACAGACACAGGAGTAGGTAATCCTGTTCTGTATACAGGTCACAGAGCATTGATGAGACAGATACAGAAACAGAAAATTCAGATACGGTGTTATAATAGGTTAAATAAGTTACAAGAAGGCAGAGCCAGGAGGTGGTGATGCTGTCCATATCAGGGATTATCTTCCAAGATGAGGGATCTCCTCTTCTTCACTTACTGTGTTGTGACCGGGCCAGTCGTGAGCCCTGTTTCCTCTTCTGTAAAAGGAAGGATCTGGAATAGATCCTTTCTAGGCTTCCTTCCAACATGATGATCTGTGAAACTACAGTCCCATATTAGATACTACTATTAGCTGTAGTTCTTTCACAATCCACTGTTTACTGAGGAGTCAGAATATTCACTATATCTTAAGGGTACAATATAAATTGCGTAAGTTTGAGGCTGGAAATCTGGATTCCAGCCCTAACTCTGGTACTCTGCACCTGTGTTCCCACTTGTAAAATAAAGGCGTTGTAGTGAAACAAGCTCTAAAACCTCTTTCAGTTCTAATACTATGACCATGGCATGAGGTCAAGCTTATTTCATACTGCCTTGTACCAGATGCCATTTTCATATTATTGTTTTCCCCATCTGGATTATTGAGAAAGAAGGCTGGTGGTTCAAACCCACCAGCCACTCCTCAGAAGAAAGGTTGGGCAATCTACTTCCGCAGTGATATTGCCTTGGAAACTCAAGGAGGGGTTGCTATGAGTCAGATCTGACTTGATGGCAGTTAGTTTGGTTTTGGTTTACCTTAGTTTGCCACAGTGTTGGGCACACAATAGATGCTTAATAAGCGCTTTTTGAATTAAATGGGATAGAAATGACAGCCCCTTTGGGGTATTAATTCATAGATGAGGAGTGAGGGGAATTGAGATATTACCAGAGACATGGAGATGATGTGACAGATTTAAACCAGCTTTATGTGGTAATCCGCTTGAGAGGATAATAATGTGGGTAGGATATTCAGTGCTGGCTCTTTCATCCACCTGACTATCCCCAGAAATATGGCCAACAGTGAGCGCACCTTCATTGCCATCAAGCCTGATGGGGTCCAGCGCGGCCTTGTGGGAGACATCATCAGACGTTTTGAGCAGAAGGGATTCCACCTTGTTGCTTTGAAATTCATGCAGGTAAGTGGATTCCATTCTTCCTATTTTGACTCCTTGGTAGTATAGGAGAACATTGTGGGTTAACTTCCCTGTTTCTCTCTCCGTGGTAGTGTGTGGGCAATAATATCCTGAAACCTGGAAACTCCTCTGTGGCCCAGCATCGTGACTGAATCTTGGAACAAACCATGTTAATTGAGACTTTAGAAAATAGGCTCTCTTTTCCCTTAGCAGTGCAGAGTTCCACATATTACTGTAACACTATAATTTCTGACTCAGCGTGGGGCATGTTTGAGCTGGCCTCAAGCTTCATGAACAGATATATATTTTTTTCTTTTTTCTGAGCAGATAATTTTAGAGAACTTTTTTTTTTATTCCCTTCCTCTGAGGCAGGTTGTTTTTCAGCAAGGAACTATGTCCATTATCAATTACCACCACTTAATATCTAGTATATATTGGGCACCATAAGGACATGTGGGGGAGAACTAGTTTTGCCCTTAGGGAGCCCTTCTGAAACACCAGAGAACAGATACACCTGCAAGACATCTAGAGAGCAACATTTTATATAATTCTTGGCTGAAAATTTTTCTCTTTCAGGGTTTTATATATACTATCCCATTGCTTCTCGCTTGCATGATCTCTGCTGAGTAATCAGAGCTTGTTCTTACTGGCTGACCTTTGTATGTAATTTTTTGTTTCTCCTGTGCTGCTAGAGAGCAACATTTTAATAAATGCAAAGGATTCATTGGCCAGAACCCTTCTTCAAACAGATCTAAGAGATAATTCAGATTCCCAATGCAAATAAATTAAAGGCCTTTTTTTTTTCCCCCCACCAAAGGAATCAACTTTGGAGTCACCTGGTACATTGTAAACTTAATTTAATTTGCACTTTAATTCCTGTGTGATGTTTTAGCAAAACTGCTTTGATACAAAGGGGAGTTGATGGATGCTGAAGCTGAGGGGAGAGCATGATGAATTATTAGAGCCCGTGTTGGGCAAGGAATGCTTTCTAGGGGTTTTGCATATTAAATTAGGATTTGAAGGTAAAACGAAAGTATTGTTGATTAGGCTTTACTGTTTATTGGGTACTGGCAGAGGCATTCTCACAAATGCCTTCTTGTGTGGCTCTCATGACAGCCCGGAGAGGTAGGCTTTCCTATCCCTCTGGTTATCAGTGATGAGGAACCTGAGGCTTGCAAGGTTAAGTAACATGCCTGATAGCATAGAATTAGGAATGCAGCTGGGGCTTTAGCTCGAGTCCTTCTGATCTCTAAGTGTGTACATTTCTTTCTTTACACTGATCCTGTCAAGGACATGGATTTGGTGAAGAATGAAAGGAGAGAAAGAAAGGATAACTGCTATGAGTTAAAAAGATTATTTAAATCTAACAGGAGGAGGGAGGCAAAAACCAAAAAGTCTTGTGATTACTTCACAGACTAAAGATAGTTGGCACTGGTTTATAGAATTGAATGGGTACTCTGGTAAGGGAATGTGAAGTCCGTGATGTTGGGAGACAGCCACTGTAAAAGGTGAAGGAACAGGGTGTAGGGTAGATTGCTACCTTGGAATGGTCACATGGCCATATAATTTTACCTTGGTAAGGGATACTTAACCAGGCCCTGAACTATAGGATGTCCTAGATGTGTTTTCTGGCAATAAATCTCCACATTTGTGTATATCAATGAAGTCTGCAATATGCCTCATACATTGCAGTTCCACAGAACTGGAAAAACTAAGGGACCCCACTAGACCCTCAGCAAGAGTCTGTGCAATGGCAAAGAGTGAACCCAGCCAAGCTGAGCTGGAATTGCTAAACAGGTGGTTGGTGGTTAGCTGACTTGCATTATACCCACATACCAGCCTTGCAGTGTGAGAGATTCTAATTCACTCTTCAGCAATATTATTTATTATTAGATGTCACGTATTTTAGGTGGCTTGTAGATACCTCTTGAAATTGCTTGGTCACCACACTGGGTCTTTCTCTTCTAAATAAATGTGAAGCATTCCTGGCAAGTGACATGGTGCAGTTTACTACTCATCAAATGCCAGGACTACCTCCCTCTAACATTTTAACTAGTGCTTGCTCTGGGGATGCAAATTCATTGTATTAGTTTCCCTGTACATAAAATGAGATGGCTGGATTTACTCCTAAAGTTCTGTGGCTTTATTCTGATCAGTCAAGGCCAATAGAAGGGAAATTGGTACAAAACTGAAGAAGTACTTTTAGTCTCTGCCATTGCTTCCCATGTCATATGGAGAATAAATTTGGTTATAACAGTTAGGAAGCTGAGAGCTCATGCTTTTAAGAGCAGGATGGGTGCATGGGAATTAACTAGATTGCTGGTTCTATAATAGTTTTGGGGACCAATTCTCATCCTCTACCCTGTGGAATAGGCTTCTGAAGACCTTCTCAAGGAACACTACATTGACCTGAAGGACCGTCCATTCTATGCTGGCCTGGTAAAATACATGCACTCAGGGCCAGTGGTTGCCATGGTGAGTATGCATGTGGCATGCTGGTATGAATGACTCAGTTGGGAGGATGTAATTCCTGCTTCTGATGCAAGGTCCTCACTGATGAACTGGAAACTGGAGCTGGGGCATTAGAGTTGGGCTCTCTGACCCACCAAACATAAGGTGCATTTGCTTTCTGAAGTGAAGACCCATGACTGAGAAAGATCATTAGAGACTTGCCTAACTGTAAGTTTCTAAAGGATGGGAAGATTGCCTCCTGTTTATTGCAGTAATTCTTCACCAAATAATTAACAGTTGTTAACTCTGGGCAGGCTCTCTTCTTGACACTGGGATATAGTCACGAATAAGAATAGGTGTCTGCTTTTATTGTTTATCCTTCTTCAAGGAATGGTGGTGGTGGTGGTGGTGATGAGCAGACAATAAATAAATTAAAAAATCTACATATCAGCTGCCTAAAGCACTTGACTGCTAACTAGAAGGCTGGCGGTTCAGACCCACCAGCCACTCCTCGGAAGGAAGATGGGGCAATCTACTTCCATAGTGATGCTGCCTCGGAAACCCAAGGAGGGGTCGCTATGAGTCGGGTGCGACTCGACGGCACATAACAACAACAACACATATCAGCTAATGACTAGTGATATATTCAGAATTGAAAGAGGATGATGTAATGGCTAGGGACCACTTTAGACTGGGTGGTTAAGGAAGGCTTTCCAAGGAAGAGATTGTGAAGCCAAGATGTGAATGACAATGAGGAGCCAGCCATGCACAAAATCATAGTGAGGATCATGCCTGACCAATGAAACAGCATGTGCAGAGGCCCTGAGGCGGGAAGGAACTGTTGGCTTTTTAAAGTACATAAGAAGGTCAGAATGGCTGACGCCTGGTGAGTGAGAGGGAAGGTAGGAAGGGATGAGTTCAGAAGTGTGGGTAGGGGTTCATGGCTCATGTATAACAGAGTTGGGAAGATATATACTTGACGGTTTAAAAAGGCCACTCTGGCTGCTGTGTCAAGAACGGGTTGTAAAAAGGCAAGAGTTAGGGCAAGGAGACCAGTATTCCCAGTGCTGGAGCAAGTAAGTGCTCTATAAAATATTTGTTCAATGAATGAATGCTATCATAAGGAGGCTTTTTTTTTTTTTTTTAAATGTTTGTTTATTTTTTTTATTTTTGCAGTGCTCTCTCCTCTCCCCTCCCACCCCTGGAAACCAACAAAGAAACTTTCCTTCCATATATAAACCTTTCCTTTTTTTTTTGAATTAGTAGTTTCCAGGTTTTTGCTAAGATTTTCTTCCTTGACCATATCTTCTGTTGTCCTTGGAGGTCTGGGAGGGGCTGAATGTTGTAAAAACTGGCCGAGTGATGCTTGGGGAGACCAACCCTGCTGACTCCAAGCCTGGCACCATCCGTGGGGACTTTTGCATTCAAGTTGGCAGGTGAGATTTGGTGTTTATTACCCTTTTGCAAAATCCAAGTTAGTTGCTGGAAGAATTTGGGTTTCTGAGGCTGGGGATGGACAGGAGACAAGATGCAGGTCAATTTAAATATATATATATAGGAGCTCTGGTAGCATAGTGGATAAGGCACTTGACTGCTAACCAGAAGGCAGGCGGTTCAAACCCACCAGCCACTCCTCAGAAGGAAGGTTGGGCAATCCTACTTCCGTAGTGATACTGGCTCGGAAACCCAAGGAGGGGTCGCTATGAGTCGGGGCCGACTCGACGGCAAACAACAACAACAACAACAACAACAACATATATATAGTATTGTGTTTTACATGAAAGTTTACACGGCAAATTAGGTTCCCCTTTAACAATTTATATATAAATTGTTCCATGCCATCGATTATAATTTTTACAATTTGTTTAAATATTAATTCTCATTTCCATTCTGTTTGTTCTGTTTCCATTGATCTAGCTTCCCTTCCCCTCTTTGCCTTTTCATATTTGCTTTTGGGTAACTGTTGACTATTTGATCTCAAATACTTAATTGTTTAAGGGAGCACATTACTCATGAGTGATAATGTTTATTTTATAAGCCAGTCTATAAAGATAACCGGCTGAAAGATAACCTGAAGAAATAGCTTGAATTCTAAGTTCAAAGGGTATCTTAGGGTGATAGTCTCAGGTTCCTCTAGTCTCTATTGGTCCAATAAGTCTGGCCTTTTATAGGAGTTTGAATTTTGTTCAATATTTCTCTCCCATTCTATCTGGGACCTTCTATTGTGTGCCTGGTCAGAATTATAGGTAGTGGTAACTGGGCACTGTCTAGTTCTGGTGTTAGGTTAGGAGAGGTTGTGGTTCATGTGGGCTCTTTAGTTCCGTGGACTAGTTTCCTCTTTGAGCCTTTGTTTTCCTCCATTCTCTTTTGCCCTGTGTGAATAGAGACCAGTAGTTGTATTTCAGATGGTCACTTGTAAGCTTTTAAGACCCCAGATGCTACTCACCAAACTAAGATGTAGAACATAATCTCTGTGAAGTATATTATGCCAATTGATGAAATTATCCCCCAAGACTGTGGTCCTAAGCCTTTTGACCCAGTAAACCAATTGCTGTGAGTTGTTTGGATGTGTCTAGGATGCTTGCATAACTGTGCCCCCTGTGGTTTGTTATATGTGCAGATATATATGCAGGACACACAAATGTGTGTATACATATGCCTATAGACACACCTATACATGCGTGTGCATTTACTCACATATGCCTTCCTACACACATATATGTATTCATATCTACCTTTGTAACCACACACGTTTTTTTTTTTTTGGTTGTTGGAGAATTGTATATATTGTAGCATTTACCAAAATTATCCATTTTTCCCATATACTTCTTAGTGTCTTTATTTACCTTGGTCAGGTGCTGGCTTCACCCATAATTGGGATTGTCTTTCCCATCACCGAAAGTAACAATTATCTCCTATCTAGAAAGTGATTCCCCCTCCTTCTCCCTCTCATTCCTGGTATTCATCAAGAACTTTGCTTTCTCTGTGTGTATCTGTTCTAGACTTTTTATAATAGTGTGACCGTACAATATTTGTCTTTTTGTGATTGACTTATTTAACTCAGTATAACATCCTGTCTATGTTATGTCTGGTGGACTGCTCGTTATTCTTTTACAGTTGCACAGTATTCCGTTGCTTATACGTACCACAATTTGTTTAGCGATTCATCTCTTGATGGGCACTTAGGCTATTTCTTTTTGCTGTTGTGAACAGTGCTGCAGTGAACATAGGTGTGCATGTGTCTATTTGTGTCACTGTTCTTACGTCATGCAGGTTGATTTTTAATCAGAGTTCATTCTTCTCCTCTCTAGTAAGTTGGTGTTTGACTTTGAGGTCTTTCTGCCATTAGTCACCAGCATCTCTGTGCCTATGCCTCTGTTGAGACTGTAGAACCTGGTACCAATGCACTTTGCTTGTGTGAGTCTTTCCTCAGGGCTCTTGCTTCATCCATCCGTGTTGCTAGGATAGGAAGGGCATTCTTCATCCTTCCATTAATGGCAGTCATGGGTTTTTTCTTTTGATATTGTCTAATGTGCAAGGGGAATCCCTGGGTGGTGCAGATGGTTAAGCACTCAGCTGCTAACCAAAAGGTTGGAGGTTCTAGGCCACCTAGAAGTCCCTCAGAAGAAAGGCCTGGAAATCTGCTTCTGAAAACCAGCTGTTGAAAACCCCATGGAACAGAGTTCTACTCACTCCCATGGGGTTGTCATGAGTTGACAGGAGCGTTTTTGGTTTTTAAATGTACATGGAGCTTTGGCTTTTTCTGCTGGCAATGGGAGGGGTGTTTCTGGACAGTTTCATCCTGATAATGTGGCCATTTCTTTCCCCACCCAGGAACATTATTCATGGCAGCGATTCTGTGGAGAGCGCAGAGAAGGAGATTGGCTTGTGGTTTCACCCTGAGGAGCTGGTAAATTACAAGAGCTGTGCTCAGGACTGGCTCTACGAGTGACATGAAGGCAGGCCACAGAAATTTTGCCATTCCACTTCCCGTCTCTTCCACAGGCAGGGGACCAGGTTGTAGCAAACCTACTTATTTCCGGAGACTTCCTTATAATGCAGAGGGAAACTTTTGAAGCTATGAATGCTCCTTGTACAGTGTTACCTGCTACCATCAGATTAAAATGTTTCATCCCGATTCAAGGAGTTGGTTATTTTGTATTGCTACATTGCTTTGTATTCTTTTTCTCATTTTCATGTATTCTGAATAACTTAAGGTAATAGCCAAAAACCAAAAACCTACTACCATCAAGTCGATTCCAATTCATAGTGACCCCTAGTAGGTTTCCAAGGCTGTAAATCTTTACAGAAGCAGACTGCCTCATCTTTCTTCCTGCAGTGGCTGGTGGGTTTGAACCACTGACCTTTTGGTTAGCAGCCAAATGCTTTAACCACCTGTGGTGGTTACGTTTGTGTGTCAACTGGCTGGGCCTGGTTGAGTGGCTAGGCAGCTAAATGTTGTTATTCCCCATGGTGAGATTAGTAATTAACTCATATACGGGAAGCAAACCACATACCCAAAGTGGGTATGTGGTTTGCTTCCCGTATATAAGAAGCAGCTTTGGGAATGGTCTCTAGCTTATGGCATGCTTAGACCCTACATGTAGCTGTGTCATTGTTCAGCAGTCTGCCATGCTCTGCCGACCTTGGGACTTAAAATGGACTTAAATTAATGACCTGTCGTGTGGTTTGGTAACATCGGGACTGTGCCATTTTATTTGTCGCCTTGGGCTTCTTAGCCTCAGTAGCCAGTGGCTGCCTGAGTGAAGAGATGCCTGTAGCTTCAGTGGGCCGGGGGCAAGAGGCAGAGCTGAAGCCCATGGTCGAGGGGCTTCACACAGCCCCTAGAGCCTGGCACTTGGAACTCGGACTTCTAGCCTCCCAAATTGTAAGAATAAACTCCTGTTTGTTAAAGTCATTCTATTTGTGGTATATTCTTGTCAGAGTGGTACTAGGTAACCAGAACACCACCACACCACCAGAGCTCCTTATGAGGTAATAGAGAGTACAAGTAATACATAAATTATTTATACTGGCCTGAAGGATACATACAGTGTTCCACATTTGATGTCCCTTTTCCCCTACTCTTGGCACCGAGCCAGTCAACAGACATCTGTCTATTCAGGATCTGCTAGGTTGCCAAGACTGGACTGGGAGCAGAGGATTCTTCAGAAATAAAAAATTTCTGTTCTTGACAAACTTTCAGGGACTCAAGTGGATTAGGGAGCCTGAGAAGTTCCACACTCCAAAAATTAGAAGTGTTATGTGTTCAGTAAGCGTAGGTCCCTGGGATGGCCTCAAAAGAAGAGAAGAAATCTTATAAATAGCTTTGATTTGTGAAGTATTGATTTGGGTGCTTTAACAGAGAGAAGGATAGGAATTTACTTCTCTGTTATTTAAAAGTAAGCAAGTAGATGGGGGTGGGGGTCGTAAACGCTAATCCTTGTGATTGTCTAGGGAATCAGTTTCTTTTATTTATTTACTTTTATTGTGATTTAGGTGAAAATTTAGAGCAAATTCACTTTCCACACAGCAGTTCACATACACTTTGTCTCATGACATTGACCGCAATTCACCACAATGCAACAGCTCCCCTCCCACTTCCTCCCAACAGTCACCTCTTCCCTGTGTCCATCCCTCCATGCACCCCTGCCCCCTGAGCTCTCTCCCTGTGCATAAACAGCCCTTCTTTCTTCCATGATTGTTCTGGGAGTCAGTTTCTTTCTAACCAATCCATGATGGATTACCACCCTGTGGCTACCTTAGGCAAGTTTGGAAGTGGAAGGAGCTTCTTCCTTTTAAGGGTACAACCTGAATTTACTACTCTGATTTCCCCTCACATCCCATTGGTCAGAACTTGGTCACATGGTTGTACCTAGCTACAAAAGAACCTGGAAAATGTTATCTTTAGCTGGGCAGCCATGTGCTCAGATAGAAGTCAAGGTTCTACTATGAGAAAAGAGAACACAACTGTGTATCTTTGCCATAAGATTTAGCAGGTTTTCTTTCTGGGTATTTTCCCAGTTTATCAGGGTGCCAATTAGAAGCAATTGAGGAGTCCTGGTGGTGCAGTGGCTAAGTGTTTGGTTGATAACCGAGAGGTCAGCAGTTTGAACCTGCCAGCCATTCCATGGAAGAAAGATGTGGCAGTCTGCTTCTCTAAAGATTCCAGCCTTAGAAACCTTATGGTGCCACTATACTCTCTATAGAGTTGGTATGAGTTACTGGCATTTTTTTTTTTTTTTTTTTTTTTTTCTTTTTCTGCTGTAGCAGCAATAGAGGGGTAGGGACTTCTCAGGAGGGGAGAGTTGGGATGGGGCTACCTTTTCTTTGGGGGCATCTAATGGCTAGATATATATTCGTTTGACATAAAGTGTGACCTCTTTGTTTTATGAGGTGAAATGAGAGTCCCAGGATTTGTGAGGAGTTAATATGTGTAATGAAATAGGGTTTTCTCTACCCTAGTTAAGGTCAGTCTTTCTAGGAAGGAAAGGAGACATGAAAGCCAGAGAGCTGGCACTGACTGTACAGTGAGTGAGTAGGTATCACTGTCCTGACCAAGGAACATACAGCTTTCTAGAGAGATCTCATGAAGTTGCCAGGCCCTTTCCCACAGTTGACATTTGATAACTCAGAAAAGGAACCCAAATGGAAGCTCACTTCAGACGGAGGCCAAAGGAAACAGTGGTTGTCTACACTAGAATGGGGGTGAAAGTCATTTCCGGTGCACTTGCTGAATGCCCCTGCGGCTATAATTTTGGAAAGCCAATAGGTGTAAGAGAGGTCTGAGTTCCCATCTTATCACACAGTTCTAGGTTGTCAGGCCAGTGCTAGGAACACAAGGGTGATGTGATCATCACACATGATGTGATTCCTGTGGGTAGCTCCGTGTTGGGAGGAAAACAGATAGGAGCACAAACCATCTCAGAGCAGTAAACAAGGCCGTACAGGTATTAGTGCTGGGTGAGCTGAGGGAGGGATGTGCTGACTCCTCTAGGGGGCCAGGCAAGTCTTTACAGAGGCTGTTGCACCTGAACTGTTGTGTGCTACTGAGTGAGTTCAGATTCATAGCGAGCTTACAGGACAGAACGTCCCCTTAGGGTTCCCTGGCCTGTAATTTTCAGGTTGCAAGGTCTTTCTCCCACTGAGCCTCTGCATGGGTTCAGATCCCCAACCTTTTGGTTAGTAGCCTAACTCCCTTAACAATTGTGCCATCCGGGCTCTCTATTTCTGAACTACTTGGCCCTAAAGGTGGCTAGGGGTTTGCCAGACAGAGAGAAGGTGGCAAAAAGATGGCAGGCCTGGTTCCTAGGAGAGAATCTAGGTGCCCTTAATAAGGGTAAGTGTGTCTTAGGTTAACCTGGATAACCTGACCACACAATCATGGGGGGCTTCATCTCAGGGTGGGAATGGGGTGGCTAAGTTGAGGCTAGAAAGGTAGATGGGGAGCCAGGCAGGGAGTGTACAGGGTATACTGTGAAAAGCAAGGTGAACGCCATCCTGTAGGACGTGGGAAGTCATCAAAGAAGATCAGGTGAGTGAGTGAAGTGTCCAGGGAGGCTCCACGTGAGGGGCCGTTGGGAAGTTGCCCAATAATTTAGATGAGAGGTAGAGGGCTTGTCCCTGGGAGCAAGCAGAGGGCATGGAAAGGGAAGGCTGGATTTTAGAGTAGGTAGGTTAGATCTCCGTGGATGGGATGAAGGAGACTGAATGTCAAGCTTCTACTCTGGGTGCCCAGGTGGATGGTGGAAACACATGGCATTGACTGAGGTAAAGAACTGAAGACCAGGAGCAGGTTTTGGGGGGTGTGTATGTTGTGGGTGTGTGTCTTGGGAACTTGTAGGGGTGGCGGAGGTAATGAAAAGATAAGTTGGATTAGGGATGTGGGACACTCAGATGTAGAACAAATCACTTCCTGCCTCTGGATCCCTCACCAGCGAACCAAAGGCGTGGACCGGGAAAGGCGCAGAGCCTGGGCAATGTCATACGACCGCGTCCCGGCACCGCGGGTTGGGCGGCGGGGCCCTCCGGGGTGTGGCCGCCTTGCGTCCCGCCCCGTGCCCCTCCTTCGAGGACTGCTCCCGGGTCGGGTGGTCGCTCAGGGTCTCAGCTCCGGCACCGCCAGCAGCGCACCCGCCGCCCGCTCCCCTGCCAGCTTTCCCGGTAAGTTGGCTGCGGTGCTTTCTCTCTCCGACCCCGCCCCTCCCCCCCGCCGCTCAGGTCCCCTCACACGCTTGTGCCGCGTCGAGCGAACCCTGTCTGCTGACGCCCTATTTTAGAGGCCTCTGCGCCGTGCCCGAGTCCGGGTTCCCCGCCTGGCTCTGCACTCCCCCGGTACCCCTGCTGTGCCCCCTCCGCATCTCTCGGGATCTGCGCTGGGGCTGCAGCCTCCCGGCCCCGCAGGGCGGAAGCGGCGGGGGAGCCACGTGTCCTCCGGCGGTTGGGGGCCGGCGCGCCCGGCGGCC